GAGAGAGAGAGAGAGAAAACGGAGCTTGCGTGAAATTCGATGAATTTATGGAACGATTCCCGAGCTTTTCCCAATTGAAAAAGAAAGGAAAAAAAGAATAGATAAATAAATTCGAGCAATCTCCCTTCTTGTTCTTTTCGTTTCGAATTATCAACTAATATAATAATCGGTGTTCGAGTTTTAATATTTGAAAAGTCAGTTTTTTCCCTTTTTATTTACAGAAAAGAAAAAAAAGAAAAGAAAAATGGTGCGAATCGAATGGATAAGCGTGATTCCCCAGCAAAGATTCTACTATCCGCGATAAATTTACCGAACGATTTTCTCTCGATCCGCGAGGATAGTCACCATTGGTGGCGTATAAAACGGAAGAATAATTCCACCGTTCTGAAACGTCCCAGGCGATGGCGTAAAGGGGGGAAAAAAAGAAAAAAAAAAAAAATAAAAAAATAAAAAGGAACGGACGGTAGTTCTTGCTCGAATGAAGTTTCCTCCTCGATAGATAATAACGAACAGCTCGATAACTCGGAGCCACTCGGTCCGAGTTTCTTTCAAAGACGATTATCGTAAGCTGGCGGGACGGCAACCGATTGGCGATTCGAATAATTCACGGGACAGAAATGGAAGAAACGATCTCTGGCCGAGGGAAGGAAAATTAAAAATAAAATTAAAATAGGATTTCCCTCGTTTGAAAGAAAGAGGAAAGAAAAAAAAAAAGAAAAAATCGTTCGTCTCGCGATAAATACGACGATCTACAATAATATCGCTCAAAGATAAGAGATTTTTCTATATATAAATAAAGTTCCATCGTGTCTCGAGTAGTGTCGAAACTATAGAATCGAGGAGATTCCAGACTAGAGGATTGTATCTATAAGAATCGTGTTTACCAATTGTCGGCTACCCAGTTTCAAAGCAGTTTCGATTCCCGACGATCGATGAGCCGTATAAATACGATAGGGACAAATGGGCGCGGGAACGGAATATATATATATACATCCAGCTTGAGATCGAGATCGAACTTGCGTTTCCAGGAAGTAAACATTCTGGAAACTGGACTTCGACCGGATGAAATTGACACGAGAATTTCGAGGCCCGGATCCAAAGAGATTGACTTCACTTTCAAAGCCTCGCCTCGACTTTTGACTTTAAATTCGAATTTTTTTTTTTTTTTGTAAATTTGCAAATCGTCTCGAAAGATGTTCGACGATCCCTTTCGATCAAAGACCGAGAGGGAAAGGGATGGAGGGGAACGAAGAGGAGAGGAACGACGTTGGCCTCTGAAGGCGCGAGATATGTGGGACAGTTGGTTAAACGGTGATCATAGGGGAGGACAGTTTCCGGTGAACGATCGCCTTCTAAGCGGCTAATTAGCGAAGATCTCGGGAACAAAGTAGGGAGCGGTGGCGGTAATTAAAGTCGTAAGGTGCATCCGATAACGATCTTAATGAATTCCAAGGTAGCGGGCGTGATTATCGGTTAACTGTCAGCAAGAATGGGACCGAACGTGGTCTGGTGGAAGATGGAAGTCAGCCCATCCAATTATGTCTGGGGATAGGGGTAGGAAATCCGCGAGAAACCGTCGACGCGGAAAATAATTTTTCAAAAGCCTCTTGCCAGGCTCCCCCTTTTTTTTTTTCCCCCATCTCGCGGCTCTCCATTCTTCTGTCCCGTATCCACGGACAGCGGGTAGTCGGCGGCGAGAGAACGTCGGCACAATACGTTTGTGAATCGAGGAAACCACCCTTTTCTCTCTCTCTCTTTGCCTTCTTTTCTCTCCACCATCTTTACCACCAAATTTATCCCTTAAACGAGAATATCGTATCTCGCGAATTTTCGTTTATTATCGAATTTATCTCATTTATTTCCCGTGTTTCTTCTCTTTTCCTTTTCCCCTCCTTTTTCCACTTTTTCAAAATGGTAGAACAAAGCGTATATCCGATTTCCACTCGGAGATATCTCTTTGAGCGTATCAAGCTTTGTTAAAAATTCCACAAATTCGACAGGCTTGCCGAAACAATGCGATCATGTCAGTTTTTTAACGACGAAAATTCGTGACCGGCTCTTTGTTCGCGACGTTCGCTTCCTTCCGGTTGTCAATAGCAAATTCTCTCCCCGTACACAATCTGGATAAAATGTCCGCCCGACTTGGAGAATGAAAAATAAATCAAAGGATCGGCCTGATCCGCGTTCAACTCGAACTCGTTCCGTGTTGTTGTTGTTGTTGTTGTAAAGTCGGACGCTTTGAGCGTCGTAGCAACGTCGATCGAGGAAAAAATTAAACGAGACGTTGGGAACAATTACGTGGAAGAAAATTACGATTCGTTCGATTCGTGTCGAAGGTAAAGTCCTTGCTCCGTCGGAATTTCACGCAATCGAACACAGTATATTGCTGTATAATTAATTTTATGCGATTAAACGTCAATATCCCAGGGCTGGTGACCGTTTACACGATGAAACGGCTTAATGGACGACGCTGTAATAATACGATAGGGTGCTAGGGTGTTGACGTTATTGCGATTGGCACGTAACAGACGCGTGACAATCATTTTCCCAAGATAATAACACACCCAGCGCGTTTCGAAACTTTCGAAAAATCGAAAATAATCGTTCCCCTCTTCGAAATCGTTCCCAGCTTTCAATATATAATATTCCGTGTCGATTATTTTTCTCAAACGGCCGAAACAACCGTTTTTTTTTTAACTTCGTAGAGAGAGAGAGAGAGAAGCAATAGGTGGGAAAAATTGACACTGGGTTCGAGCGTTGTACTCGAAAATCGATGGCGCGTTGCACCGCGTTGTAAGCCCCTGCACGACAATCCCTGTTAATTCCGTCTCTGGGTATTCCTAATCAGCGGCGTAAGTGCATCGTCAACGACATAATGGCGTGGTAAATGTGACAGATTTCCATCGGGAGCACGCCTGGCATTCCCAGCCGTCCTAGACAATAATCAGACCGATTCGCTGATTTCCGTTTCTGATTCCCCCTTCGATCTATTCCTCCCCCGATTTCGAACTCGTCTCGTTTCGTCGTTCTTGCTTGAAATGAAACGCTTGAAATAAATATTATTATTATTATTATTATTACTCGATACTTGTTTCGAAGCGAATTAAAAATTAAAAAAAAAATACACGAATTGACACCTGATTCCCGTCAGGTACACTGGTGGAGAGAGGGTACAAGCAATTCAGCGGGAACGTGCACGTGATGAAGGCCGTGGCCTCGGACATGGTGCTGACCTTCTGCTCCCGGAACCCGGACAACCAGCTGTACTCGTTGCTGCTCTCGCGGGAGCACATCTTGCAAAAGAGCGACAAACGAGGGGTGCACAATCTGCTCGGTCGCCGTGGCCTCAAGATCGTCAACATCCGGGAGACGTGCATGAACAACGCCGCCTGGAGAAGAGGATCCTTCGATCTGATCGGGTGGCTGGCTCTGATAGGGGTGTTGTCCAGCGTCTTCTTCGGCTCCTGGTAGTGGTGGTAATAAATCGTCGAATAAGGGAACGAAACGAACGGAATTTTCGTTACGGTTCAATCGTTAGCTGCGTTGTTGATGACGAGCGATAATCCTCAACAGCGATCCGTGGATCATTCCGGCCGTTATTCTAGACTCTCTCTCTCTCTCGACCAAATAAAATCTCGCTGCTTCTTCGCAAGGAAGGGATCGAGAGAGGCGATCGCTCGATGTCGAGAGAAGGAGGATCGAGTTCAACGAAACGAAGGAGAGAGAGAGAGAGAGAGAGAGAGAGAGAGCGTC